GATCCGTAACCTTAGGAGAATTTAACTTTTGTTTTAGATATAACGACGAAGAGGTCGAAGAGGACATGACCGCACAAGAGTGCCTTGATCCACCCTCAACAGAGGACAGACCATTTAACTTCGCTATTAATAATGAATTAATAGAAAACAATGAGTTTAGGCTAGAGCACCTAAACTCAGAAGAAAAAGAAAAAATAAAAAAAGTTTTACATGAATTTCGTGATATCCAGTACCATGAAGGTGACAATTTGACTTTCACTAGTACAATTAAACACAAAATTCTAACAAAACATGAGGACCCAATTTACAAGCGTCCATACAAATATCCTCAAATATACGATGAGGAAGTAAATAAACAAATAAGCGATATGATAAAACAAAATATCATACGTAAATCCAAATCCCCTTACTGCTCACCAGTAATAATCGTTCCAAAGAAAAACGATGCATCTGGAAAGCAAAAGTTCCGGTTAGTCATAGATTACCGCAATCTCAATGAACTAACTATTAATGATAAATACCCTATCCCGATCATGGATGAAATATTAGACAAACTTGGAAAATGTCAATATTTCACAACCATTGATCTAGCCAAAGGCTTCCACCAAATCCAAATGGATCCTGGTTCAATTCCCAAGACCGCATTTTCGACTAAACATGGCCATTACGAGTACACTCGCATGCCATTTGGTCTTAAGAATGCACCTGCAACGTTCCAACGTTGTATGAACAATCTCTTAGAAGATTTAATTTTTAAAGATTGTCTGGTCTACTTAGACGACATTATTATTTTTTCCACTTCATTGGAGGAACACATTTTGTCGCTACAAAAGGTATTTAAGAAGCTTAGAGAAGCTAACTTAAAACTACAGTTGGATAAATGCGAGTTTATGAGAAAAGAAACTGAATTTCTCGGTCACATCATCACAACTGAGGGTATAAAACCAAATCCCAACAAGATACAAGCAATTGTCAAATTCCCAATTCCAAAAACCCCAAAAGAAATTAAGTCATTTCTAGGATTATGTGGTTTCTATAGGAAATTTATACCAAATTTCGCTAATATAGTAAAACCATTAACACTTAAATTAAAAAAGGGAGCAAAAATCAATATAAAAGACAGAGACTACGAACTAGCGTTTGAAAAGCTAAAAGTACTCATAACATCCGACCCAATTTTAATATACCCTAACTTCGAAAAACCATTTTCATTAACTACAGACGCGAGTAATATGGCAATAGGGGCCGTCCTTTCGCAAGAGCATAAGCCTATATGCTATGCAAGTAGAACTCTCAACGAGCATGAGTTAAATTATTCAACGATTGAAAAAGAATTATTAGCAATCGTTTGGGCCACTAAATACTTTAGGTCCTATCTCTTTGGTCGACAATTTCAAATCCTTAGTGATCACAGACCACTCGTCTGGTTAAATAATATGAAAGAACCTAACATGAAATTACAAAGGTGGAAGATCAAGCTAAATGAGTTTGATTTCCAAATTAAATACGTCCCAGGAAAAGAAAATTATGTGGCAGATGCTCTGTCCAGAATTCAATTAAACGAAAACTTCTTAGGCGAAGATACAATTAGCACAAGAGCAACAATACATAGTGCTCAAGAAGACAACAGTAACCATTTACAAATCACAGAAAGACCACTTAATTATTATAATCGACAAATAGAATTTGAAAAAGGAACCGAGAACGAAACAAAAGTTACGAATTACTTTCACAAAACCAACATAAAAATTACGTACAAAGACATGACTAATACGCATGCCAAAGAATTAATAAAAGAATACTTATGCACAAAGAAAAGTGTGCTATACTTCCACAACGAAGCAGATTTTCCAATTTTTCAAGAAGCCTACTTAGAAATAATAAGTCCAAATAATTCAACAAAGGCAATGAAAACTAGTACAAAATTAATAGACCTTCAAACATACGCAGAATTCAAAGAATTAATATTAAAAAAGCACAAAGAATTATTACATCCAGGAATTGAAAAAACTATCAATTGGTTCAAAGAAACCCACTATTTCCCAGATTATCAAAATTTAATTCAAAATCTAATAAATGAATGTGAGATTTGCAACATCGCAAAAACAGAACACAGAGATACAAAATTAACTTTCGAAATAACTCCGGAAATCGCTAATATCCGAGAAAAATATGTAATGGATTTTTACATAGTAGGAGATAAACAATTTTTATCTTGCATTGATATCTATTCAAAATTTGCATCATTAATAGAAATAAAAAGTAGAGACTGGCTAGAAACCAAACGAGCTATATTACAAGTGTTCAACCAAATGGGTAAACCCATCGAAATAAAGGCAGACAAAGACTCAGCTTTTATGTGCACAGCTTTACAATTATGGCTAAAATCAGAAGCAGTAAATATTAATATAACCACTAGTAAAAATGGTATATCCGACGTAGAACGATTTCATAAGACAGTTAACGAAAAACTAAGAATCATTAACAGCGACTCAGACGTCGAAAATAAACTTACAAAATTTGAAACTATACTCTACACGTACAATCATAAAACAAAGCACAAAACGACTAACAGAACACCAGCGGACATATTCATATATGCAGGTACACCAGAGTATGACACTCAAGCTAATAAAGAAAAACTAATAAATAACCTCAACAAAAAACGAACAAATTATGAAATTGACACTAGATACAAACACTCACCGTTAGTTAAATCAAAGACGACAACCCCGTTCAAGAAAACAGGAGAACTAAGACAAATCGACGACAAACATTTTGAGGAAACTAACAGAGGCAGGAAAATAACACATTACAAAACCAAATTCAAAAAGAAAAAGAAGACTAATCAAAGCAAATATAACAATTACAGGTCAACAACAGACAGCGATCAAAACATACAAGCACCAGCTTAAATTAATTATTATAATATTACTATCAATAACTGTAAACTATATAAATGCACAGAGTATTGAAATTAATCCTATCAAAGCCCATAACGGATATCTCATATTTAAAACAGGAACCATAGACATTCCGACAGATTACGAATTCCACTGTTTAACGGTTAATATAACAAAAACCGAAGAAACTTTTAACAATTTAATTGAACAAAGTAAAGAATTCAATAACCTTATACAAATCGAATACCTAGTAGAAAAATTAAACAGAGAAATAAACGGCTTAAAAATAGCCAAACGCAGCAAAAGAGGTTTAGTTAACATAGTAGGAACAGCATATAAATACTTATTTGGAACATTAGATCAAGAAGACAAAGCAGAAATTGAACAAAAAATAAGCAACTTAGCAGAAAACAGCGTCCAGGTTAACGAATTAAATTATATAATAGAAGCTATAAACAAAGGAATAGAAATCATGAACGAACTAGATCAAGAGAAACAAAAAGGAAAGAAATTAGATATCCTTATATTTAACTTACAACACTTTACAGAATATATAGAAGACATTGAGATGGGAATGCAGCTCACAAGATTAGGAATTTTTAACCCAAAATTACTAAAACATGACTATTTGTTGCATGTTAATTCTGAGAAATTGTTGAATACAAAAACTTCCACTTGGTTTAAATCAGATACAAACGAAATACTGATAATATCCCATATTCCTCGAGAAATAATAAAAAGCCCGGTATTCGAAATAATTCCATACCCGGATGAAAATAATAATATTTTGACAGAAATAGCTCATGAAAAATATTTTACCCAAGATAAAAAAGTTTATAGCAGAGAAACAAAAAAATTAATTAATAATGAATGTTTAACAGGAATTTTAAACCAAATAACATCAGAATGTAGTTATACTAAAATTTTGCAAAATTTTCAAATCAACTACATAGAACCAAATATAATTTTAACTTGGAATTTACCAAAAACTATATTAAACCATAATTGTATAAATAACGAAATAACAATAGAAGGAAACAATATAATAAAAATCTTTAATTGTTCATTGCAAATTAATGAAATTTCAATTTCAAACAATATGTTAGATTATACTCAAAGCATTTACGTAAGCAATGATGTTATAAAATTAGAACCACTTTCGTTTGTACAAACGAAACAAATTATAAATGCACATACAAAATTTAACAATGTATTCCAGATAATTACAATAACCATATTTGTAATCATATTAATAAGTTTAACACTGTATTTGACATATAAGTTCAAAAGCATACCTAAGAAATTAATTATAAAATATAAAAAACCCAAAGTAGAAGAAACACCTACAATAATAGGAGATATACCAATTGTAAAAGAAGAAAATGTTACACTATATCCAAACTTAAACACCTGAGGACAGGCACTTTTCTAATGGTTGGGGGAGTGACATATCCATAGTCGCACCCACCCTTTAACATAACTTAGCACATAAGCATAAGCACAATTATAAACATTTCTAATATTGTAAACAAAGAGCCTGGTGATAACATCGACATTGGTCAAGATCAAACTGTCCCCCTTTGGTAGACATAAACAATTCACCCTAAATATCACGCCACTGTCAATGTTCCCATCAGAGTACTATCCCACGCATAATTGCTGACGCAGCTCAAACTTCACTCAATTTTGACTCAAACTCTCTCAAAGCGAAGTTTGCTAAGCGACCGCAACAGTTAGATAAATCAGTTCATATTCGGGAAGCAAATCTGAATGTACTCAACAAAAGTAGCCGTTAAGTGAAAATAATAAATTGAAATATATTTTTTTATAGTAACCTAACGTGTAAAACTTAATTATATATATATATATGTATATGTTGTTGTAGGTAAAAGTTAATTTTATAGTTCTCTTGCCTTAAGAGTACTCATCGCATATAAAAATAGGTATGCATATATATATATATATATATATAGAACTTATCTTAGTTTGATTCGCTTAATTAGGGATGTGCTATATATTTTTGGAACAGTATTGAGGAGAGTCCTTCCTCTCGTATTGTATCTCATTTGTAGTTTCCAATGCTTAACTAGGGGCGTCTTAAATCTCAAGTTGAACTTTATTGCTTTGTAAAAGTGCGGGATATGAGTTCTGCTCTCGGCTATGCTCTACTCTCTATATCGGTATGAGTATGTATGTGTGTGTGTATGTGTATATATTGAAAATTGATGGCCACCTGGTGGCTGCTTCGTTAGTAAAGGGCGCTTGGGGCGCCTCATTTATTATCAGGCAGGCGCGCAATCAGCGCTAATTAAAATGGCCGCCGGCTTGGATCACGAGATGATGCAGTTTTTGTCCTTGTCAGCGCCGGCCAGGTCTGTGGGCTTGCGTTTGCGATCGTAGGCCAGGGCGTCGTTGGGCACATAGCTGACGCGCACGCCGCCATAGTGGCGCCTCTGCGGCAGCTGGTACATCATCATGTAATCCTCGGAGCTGGATGAGCTGGACGAACAGGTGGAGCATACGTCCGATTCCTCGGATTCATCGCGCTCCCGTTCACGTTCGCGTTCCCGTTCACGCTGCTGGCGCGGGGACTTGTGCGGCGACTCGTGCTCGGCTAATGCGCTGGCCTGCAACACCGAGGGCGGGCCCTGGTAGGAGGAGGACAGCGGCTGGGCTGGCGCATAGGTATCGGCACGCGTGGTCGAGTGCGAGCGATGCCCGCTGCCGCTGCGATGGTGGCTCGAGGACTTGCGACGACGGCGACGGCGCGAGGAGTGCCCATGTCCATGTCGATTAACATCCCGCTCCCTGTCCCCGCCCCTGTCCCTATCCCTATCTCTGTCTCTCTCTCTGTCCCGTTCTCGGTCCCTTTCGCCAGCGCCGCTGGTGCCGGCGCCATTGCCGGAGTAGCTGCGCGAGCGGGGCAGCGTATCGGGTATGCCCTCGAAGCGCACGCCCTTCTTCTTGGTCGGCTCACCGCTCATGGGCGAGGAGGAGCTGGCGCCGCTGAGTATTGAAACGGGATGCGTGGGCGGCTGCGTCGCCGATTGCGTCGACAGCGGCGTCTGCAGCGACCGATCGCCGGCGGAGTGCGTGGGCGAGCCCATTAGCTCGGACGGCAACGCAGTCGAGGCCACACTTAGATTGGGCGTGGGCAGCTCGGGCAGCTCACCGACCGGCGGCGGTGCTGGCGGCGGATGCAATATATCCGCATACTCGTGATGCGACGCATGGAACTGCTGTGCGGAAGCGTGCAACGGCGGCGCCGGCGGCAGCTGCTGTGCAAAGTGCGCCAGGTGCTGAGCCCCGACCACGCCCAGCTCCGGCATGCTGGAGGTGATGGAGTTGTCCATTTTGGAAACCTGTTGCAGCTGTCGCTGCAGCTGATAGCTGTGCGTGCCGCCCAGCGGCGGCTTGGCCGGCCACGCTGCATCCAAATTCGTAGCCATCTCGTTGAAGTTGTAGACACCGTCGCGCTGCAGTTCCATGGGCTTGGGCATCAGATGCGTCTGAAAGTCGCCGGGCGAGTTCAACGGCGACATATTCTGTGAGCTGGAAAAATCGGTAAAATCGCCGCCTCCCCCGCCGCCGTCGACGACCGCACTATGCCCGACCTGCTCCAGATCCTTGACAACGCCCGCGTCCGAGTCGGAGGTGGCATAGCTTTGCTTGGCATGTGCCACTAACAGGCCGCCCGGCAGCTCATTCCCGGCCACGCCCGCGGCCAGCTGTTGGCTCTGCAGCTGGTACATGGCCTGATTGAAGCTGGCCTGATGCTGTTGCTGCTGCTGCGGCGACATGGGCGGCGAGCTGGAGGCGTGGCTGCTGGGTATGCGCGTCTGTTGCGGTCGCACACGCTGCGCCGGCGGCGTCGGCGTGGTATACATGCCCGTGCCGGAGCTATCCGACGGCGTCGGCGGCTCACCCTTGCTGCAGGCTATCGAACAATAGATGGCGCCACGGCGCGGCAAAAAGGCGCGACCCAGCAGCGAACAGCGACAGGTGTTGCACGAGAAGCACTCATCGGTGGCATGCCAATGCTGGCCATCATGACTCATCTGCCCCTGATCCACGCCAATCGCCTCGCCACAGTAGTCACAATATTCGGCGAACATCGCATCGAAGCAGAGCAGACAGTACGGCTTGCCCTCTCGCATTATGTACCGCTGGCCGCCCAGCTGCTTGTCGCACTCGTGGCAGGCGAAGTGATTCATGTGCCAGGCACGTCCCTCGGCCTCGGTGCACTCATCCGCCAGGATAATCTGTGTAGAGCGTGGTATATGGAAGGCAAAGTTATAGAGCGAAATGTGCCTGGGGTCAACACGGGTCGGGAGACTCACCTCATCACAGGCGGAGCAGCGCGGCTTCAGCGTCTCCGCGTGATGGCGGCCGCAATACATGCGTCCATCCCGATGGAAATATATGAGATCCACGAGCAGCTCGCGGCAAATGCAGCACGTAAAGCAGCCCGGATGCCAGCTGGCATTGGGGCCGAGGCGCGTGGCAAAGACCGCAATGTCGCCAGTGGAAATCAGCTCGTCGCACTGCAAGAGTTTTCAATTGGAGCTGATGGGCTGGGGGGATTAGAACTGGGTTAGGTACTTACGCCATCGCATGGACGTGCGCTCATCAGCTGTCGCACATTGCCGCGTCCGAGTGCATCACGTTTGCGCTGTGTGGAAAACAGACGCAGCTCCTTGCGCTCCTCATCCGTCAGTGAGTGACAGTAACGAACCTGAAATGACAGAAGAACCGTTTGTTGAGACGACAGACAGACAGACAGACAGACAAAAGACAGAGGTACAGAGGGACAGATAGGCAGGGAGACAGCCAAATCATATGTTCAAGTTGATGCTGGTGGGCAGGCTGAAGTGATCTTTCTAAGAAGTCAACTTGGGGCGCAGATTGTTTGTCTGCAACAACAGCCATGGCCAGAGACAGCCACAGCCATAGCCGCAGCTCAAGTGGCCAGTGGGCAGGGCAGACGACCGCAGACAGCGAACGGTAGCCAAGGCTGCCCATCAACTGGGTTAGCTTCTAGTTCCTTCTCCTACTCCTCCAGCAAGCTCCAGCTCATCCTGCTGCTGGCTGCGGCCAGCGTCTCGTTTGTGTTGTATGCAAATTTTTTGGCTGCCTCTTTTTTGTTGCCCCAGTGCACAATTTGATTTGACTTTCGGCTTGGAATTTGGGCATTTTCCACACACACAAACACTCACAAATACACACGCAGGTACACACGCACGCCCATTGCCAAAGTCCGGCCAGCTTGGATACTCGTTAACATGGCAACCCCCAGTTAGTGGCAGTGGTTAAAAGTGGTAAATGCTAAAATGCTAAAATGGTAACTGATATCCTCCAACTTAAAGCTGTGGGAATACGTTCAACTAGGGTTCCATACCCTAACAGAGGATATTCTAATTTCGATGTTGATGATAATCATAATAATGATTGATAATAATAATAATAATAATAATAATAATAATAATAATAATAATAATAATAATAATAATAATAATAATAATAATATAATAATAATAATAATAATAATAATAATAATAATAATAATAATAATACTTTATACTCTGTAATAATAAGCTCTCAGCTAGTTCACTTATACCTGATTACAGTCAGACTTAACTTATGTAGGGTATATGTAAGGGTATTAACGCCTCAGATAAACCAAATTGGATTTTCCTGTCTTTTTTTTTTGCATTTGGTTTTTGTTACTTTCATTGTAGTTTTGTGGTTTTTGCCAGGGGTGCCAGTTCAGTTAGTTGCACTTGTTTCCTTGATTAATTAAAAGGCACAGGAACAACAAAAGCAACAACAATTGGTCTGAGAATGTGTGGGAAAATTGCTGGCATTGACTTTGATATGCCGTTGCCGTAATTCGAGTTGTCGTTGCGAGGACACGAGGCCATTCAATCACGATAAAGAGCAAAAAAACGCGCACACATTTGAATAAATACCACGAAATTGGCAGGGCCAGTGTCACCCCAGGAACGCATCGTGGAATGGAGTGGATTACAGCGGGATATAGGAGACACTGGACTACACTCACCTCGTTATCATGCGGCGGCAGTTGATGCAGCAATTGTCGCACACGATACTGCTCTCCGGGACTGTTGACGTATGGCACTTTGTCGTCGGGTATTTGCGAGAAATACAAGCGAACCTGGCGAAAAAAAAAAGAAAGAGAAATCCAATTGAGAATTGAGTTTGGCTGCAATGGAATGCGCAGGGGTCACACACTCAAAACTAAGCTAAAACTAAATGCTTGCAAAAAAGGGGTTCAGGCTCAGCCCCAACGGATCATCTAGCACAACAACAACTTCATGATCATCATCATCAGGTTGGGGGCCTGTCAAATGCTGCGCCTGACTGCGACACAGCAGGTTGCTGCCCAAAGATTTTTCTTTCCTTTTGATTTTATTACGTTGATTTGGCCATTTTGGCCAGGTTGAAAGGTGCGCAACGTGCTGCCACGGTCAACTTCTAAGCCGCCTCAGCTGCTCAGTTTATTGGCCACGTTTTCTATTTTTTGTTGTTTTTGTTGTTTTTTTTTTTTTTCAAGTGCGCCGATTGCCGTGAAATTCAAGCATGCGATCTGCCAGCAAGTGACCACAGTCTGAGGCAGCGCGACGCCACTCAGCCAACTGCCTGCCAAACAACTAACCAACCAAGCGACTGCCAGACGGACAGACGGACGGACGGACGGACAGAGGGACAGAGGGACGGACGGACGGAGGGACAGAGGGACAGCGGGACGGACGACTGACTGACACATGGCTTATGCTGCGTCAACGTAAATGGCTGTAAATAAATTTTCAATTCTGTTTGTAGCGTTTGCCAAAAATACTATATGGCATTGGCAATGGCAATGGCGGCCAGCTGGGCTGGCGTGCTTGAATGGGAAATACCCTGTAATGAATGTGAGCAGACGCTATTACTGCCTAGCTTACCTTGATAAGGCTTATGTGTGGCCTTTATCTGTTTGGAAAGCAAGTTTTATATCTGGAATCAATGACAACCTAATATATTTCAGAATGCTTAATGTATTTCTTTTATTATTTTGATATAAAGTTAACTATTTATTCAAAAATAAACTGCGTATAAAATAAAATAACCTACATCTCGCCATGAGTCATCTGCTTAAATAACAGACTCTGAGTACTCTGAGGCTGCAGGTGGTTTTGAGTGGTTACCTTAGAACTCAAATAAGTTCCGCTAGAACTACCCGAATTTCAATATACCCACTATCAAATATTTTTTGTTTATAGGACATTTAAGCGTCTGCATGCGCGACATGTGATAGGCGCTGTCAGTTTGAGCGGGATTAACGCGACCCTATGCATACTAAAAGAAGACTGAGGCAGCATGTCAAAAAGTTGCCAACGTCTCCTGTGGGCCTGGTCCAAGCCCAGGCCGAGGCCCGGCAATAGTCGTTATAGTCAGAGCTAAAAAATGTCCCTAAAAAATGGTTAGTAGCGCGCTTTTGGGCGCGTCGGCCGCTGGAAAAGATTGCGCAAGATTTATTTGCCATTGGCGCATATTTTACGCAAATAATTTATGTGGCGTTAACGGCAGCCAAAAAATAATTGAACAAAAAATTCGTTCAAAATGCCGGCAATACTTTTCTTTTCTTCTAGTTTTGTGTTTCTTTTTGTGCATTGAATTGGCCATAAAAATGGCTTTGAGAAATGGCCAACAAGCGAGTAGGCCGCAGCTGGACTTTGGGGTTTCATTAGCGCAATCTAATTTCCAATATGCAGACAGCCTGCGAAATGACAGTCTAGAACGTGGCCCACACGTTAGGCAGCCCAAAAGCTGTCCACGGCCAGATTCCAGACTCGATCGCAGCCCAAAGATGCGAGCTGCGTGCAAAGTTCCCGTTCGCTATCGGCTCGGAGGTAAGCAATGAAGCCTGACTGATTTATGGCCTGCTGATGACCAGCTCTGCGGTCTCGTGGCGTTGGGCTTAAGTGACAAAATCACGCACAATAAGTCAAGTCAAGTCAAGTCGAGTGGAGTCGAGTCGCGTCGCGGCGAGCTTATCTGTGCACACAAATCACAGATCAAGCAACTCCCAAAGGGCCTGAGAACTCACCTGATCCGGTCGCAGGCCAGGCGGCACCCATGTGTACTCTTCGAGCGCACAGCCGCTGTCATCGTCCGAGTGCGACTGTCGCTGCATGTCCATGTGCGGCCCGGCCAGAAAGGGCGCATGCGCTGCCGCTGCGGCCGCTGCTGCCGCCGCCGACGATGAGGAGGAGGAGCAGTGGCCCGCTGGATGGTGCAGCAGTGATGGCGGTGACGGTGTCGACAGCGCCGGCGACAGCTGATGATGTGGATGTGGATGCTGCTGCAGCTGGTGTCCATGTTGCGCATTGGTATACTTCACATTGCCGGAGCAGCCCGAGCCGGCGGGCGAATACTGTCCGGCAACAGCTGCTCCCACGGCTGGCGGCAATTGCATGGGCAGCTGCTGATGATGCGGCGGCAAGTATTGCTGGTGCCGCTGCAACGGCAGCGGCGATGTGGGCAACATGCCCGCATTCTGTGCCGCATACAAAGCGCTCGCCGAGGAGCTGCTGGGCAGCCCGAGATTGCCCAGCGCTGGCTGGATCGCTGGCAATGTGCCATGTCCCTGGCTGGGCGAGAAGTGGCGCGGTAACGTGGGTATCTTCTGCAGATAGGAGATCTGCGTTAGCGGCGTGCGACTTATGGGCCTAGAAAGAGGCAGGGCGAAACAGAGAGAGAGAGAGAGAGAGAGAGAGGTTACATTTAGATTGGCTTTTAGTTATTGGCATTTTTGTGGCGTGGCTAATTTTAAACTCAATTAAAATATTTTCACAAATTACATGGCGGGTTAAAGGTTCTACGGGCTGCTGCTGGGAAATTGTGGTAAATGATTTAAGTCCCACAGTACATGGCCAAATCATATTTATAATGTATTATGAAACCGCATACAAAATGTTTTTTGCGCTTATTCCTTTGTAATACGCGGGATTTATGCGGTTTTGCACTTCCTATATATATCTATATGGACATGTAGACATATATATATAATTTTTTTCAATTTGAACAAGCTGTCAATTTAAGTTTGTTTTTTAAACGGATTGTTTTTTTTTTGAGCTGCACATCAAAATGAAAATACAAATGCGCTTCACAGAGTTTACACAAACAAATCGACAGCTCATAATGCTCTTGTTGTTCGTTTGTCTGATATAAATATATATATAAATAAATATATATATATATTCATGTATATATTTGTATTCGCATGTTTGCTGTTGTCTGCTTTCCGGGCCCTTGGGCTGTCGCTTTTTGTCAATCTGTTGTATGGCTGACATTGTTATCCTAGCTGTGCCCCGAAATGCGCTGCAAGCAAATGATGCGAGCTTTTCGACTGTGTTGGTTTAGATTTAAGGCAATAACTGTTCTAATTATTAATGATGTTTGTGTTTCCTTTTATTATTAAAGTTTCAAATGCTGCGAAGTATGTTTGAAAGATTTCCTAGGTAGTCGAAATCGATCCTAAAAATAAATCTTTTGTTTAAACTAAAAGCTGCTAAAATGAAAGATCGTTAGCTCCACATGATTAGAGTCTATTATTTCCATGCTCAACTTTTAGAAAAGTGTTACCTAACGTTTGCTTTGTATAAGTTGACAGCTATTGTAACAAAGACACTCAAAAAGATTGTTTCCACAATATGATCTAGGATCTTTTATTTTCGGAGCACGATAAACATTCAGAAAACTTGTAAGGAGACGTTTTATCTGGCAAAGCTCTATCTAAAAACCTGGCAACTGAACTAGAATAAGAGGCAGGTGTCTAGGAAATATGTTTTACCACAAATCCCAAATGACCTACGATTGCAATTGTAGGGGATTTGATGCTCGCCTTATATCAACCGCGGCACGCACCATTTCATGCCATATCAAAGGATAACTGCGCATTGTCTGCGCATATGTAACTGTATCTGTGACTTTGTGGGCAAGCGGTGGGTGGATGGGCGTTACCAGCTACGACTTCGCTTGGATATATTCAGAAATGTGGTTGTGTGTGTGTATGTGTGTGTGTGTGTGTGGGTGTGTTTTTGTGTGCCCATGCGGGCGTTTTATCAAAACAATGTGTCCGCCCTTTTGTTGTTTTTTGCGGGCCATGATGATTTAACCAGGCGAATTCATTCTTTTTGTTTCCGGATCCGCATCCACATCCGCGTCCGCTTTAGCGATTGCAATTCCATTTCTAGTTCGCTGACTGCGCCGCAGTTGCTGATGTGTCAATATTTTGTGGAAGGTGGCACGACGGGCCAATTCGAGCGGTCGTTGCGGTTTGCCCCGCAAATTAATTGCGCAGATTTTTGGCTTTGCCAGCCAGTTAAAACCAGCTAAAATGTAGTTTCAGCCATTGTTTTATGGAGCGTCGACATTTGCATTTTAAAGCGCAAAACGCTATAGTTGGCCGCTGGTCGCGGCCTGCGGGACGGGCAAAGAATGCGTCGCTGGCGTGGGATAGCCTAAAGGGGAACCAGTGCACGTGCAGTCACAGTCACAATCGCAGTCGTAGTCGCAGTCACAGTTGCAGTCGCAGATGCAGTCACAGCTGGAGACAGATGCCAACGGCGGACAGCCAAAAGTGTTGGCTGCTGTCAAATCAGCTGCATTCAAACTCAAATTACAAGCCAAACAAATGGCTGAGGGGGGAGAGTGGGAGTGGGAGTGGAGCAGGAGCTGGCACTTTGGGCATGGGACTGGGAGTCTAGACCACGCAGACACTGTTCAACTGGGGACCGGCTTGGTCTGGAAACGAACAAATGAAAAGCGAAGCAAATGCAAAAACTGTGCCTAAACAACAAATTTGCTGCAGCCAGGAAAATGAGAGGAGGCTCCAGCTGCAGCTGGAGTGCGAGCAGGAGTCCAAGCTGGAGCTGGAGCTGCACAGTTGAGGTCTGTCTGTAGTCGGAATTTATTGTGCGACCAAATGGTTGGCTATGCTGTTTGGCGACCTGCATTTCTTTTCATTTGCGCGCCGCATTTTTGCAATTTGCAAATTTATTGTTGACTGCGGCGAATTGCGTAAAATTGGCCAGCAATTGTGGCCAAGTTTCAATTTGGAGCCAGCCTTTATTAAGCCATTAAAGCAGCGGGCTGAAAATGGAAAGTGCCCGCGGGCTAGGCCAGGCCAGGCAGAAGCTAGCACAAATTCACAACTCAAATACGCACAAATTTGCAGCAACAATGTTGCTGGCAACATGTTGCCAAACTGGCTGCTGCTATAAAACGCAACATTTTTTATATTGCGCCATAAAAGACCCTTGAGGCATGTGTGTGTACAATAAATGCGGGCATATTCTGGCCTGCGGGCAGCTGTTGCCAATATTTGTATTTGCATGGCCAAAGCATAAAGTTGAAGAAGAAGAAGCAGCAGCAGCAGAAGCAGCAGCAACAGTTGAAAGGGTTCAGCTTGAGGCTGCGGCTCACTTTGGCAGTCGTTGAACCAAAAACAAAATGCCAAAACTGGTTTTTCCCACTTGGTTTTCATTGCCTCCACTTCGTGCTAGGCTCATGCTTTCGCGCCCTAAAACTAGTTCAAAGCGTTGCCATTGATAAACCGCAACTGCTCCGCTCCCCCTCCGCTGTTGCCGTTGCTGCTGTTGCTGCTGTTGCTGCTGCCTCTTGCAGCTGCACGACCGTGTCAAGTGGTGGCAACATCAGCTTAAGCACTCGCCATCTCCATTATATATGCTCGAATATAGTTTTGCAGGCCCCAGATCGTCTGTACTATATTTAGCTGGGCCGCTTATCTGGCGGCTGGCATCTAAATGAATGATCATTATATACGCCACAGCGAACGCGTTGACAAATTGCAAAGACGCGCCGATGGACGTCTCAATGGCTGCCGCAAGATCTGAGCCATGGCCCAACATCAACAGCAACAACAACAGTGGCAACAATTGGCTCACAGTTTATGCGGTTAGCTGGGCCCACAAATTTGGGTTAATGCTTTGGAGGCGAAAGTTTCCACATGCTAGTTTTCCATAGCTCAGTTTCAACTCCAATCTCCTCTCCCCCTATTCCGACCGACAGGTGGTCCCTTAAATGACGTTTCTGGAATTTGACCAGTGAGACTTGTTTAGTAAGTTTTACGATGGGCAACAACAACAATTATTGTCCAGGTTCCTTTGCGACTCCTGCGAACAGCAGCGTCTGTTGCGTTTTATTGTTTTACAGCTGCAGGCATAGTTAGGGATAACAGACCAAGCGGTTGTCGACTGCTTAATACCCTGTGGCAGGCTCAACGATTAACCATAAACCATTTCAATATAAAAATATGACAAGACAAGAGGCAACACTTCAATAAATGTCAACTCTATCAGCTGTATTTCACATGCTGCTAAAAGAAAGTACCCGGCGTCGTTCGGCTTAAGTATATTGTGTTGAAAATGTAAGTGTTCGGCAACTGCTTGTGTAATTCGCCCGTAATTGGACGCTGTCCATATCTATGCATTCGCACGAATCGAAGATCTCAATTTCATATATTATAGAAGTTAAAGTCAAAACCAAACGAGCATATATACAGCTTCTAACTTGAACAAATATCATATTACTTCGCTTTTACTTTAATCATATCATGCCCAACTGCATCCAGAATCTAGGATATATATGTACATAGGACAACTCCAACTACAAGTGTCTGCCCGGTCAGAGCTTTATTAAAAGCCATGCAGCTAGCTCACAACTAGTGCGATTGTCATAAACGATTTTTGAATTGTCAATAAAAATTGCCGTAAACTTTATGGCTAACATGGAGGAACACACGTAAACACGTACACACACAAATCCTTACGTCTAAGCTCCGTGGGCTTGCTCCATCTCCATTCCGTCTCCATCTCCTCCTGCCATTCCCGCCCAGTTGGAGCATTGTGTCTGGCTGCCCAACTACAGCCTCCCAGCGACAGTCGCTGTCTGCCGCTGTCAACATGACATTTGGCGTGTTGACATTTTTATTGACTTTGGCAGCGACTCGTACTCTTGCTCGTACTCGTACTACTCATGGCTGGTAAAAATTCCACTTTGTTGTTGTACTCTTTATTTTTTTATATTCTTTTTTTGTTTTTTGTTGCAGCTAAAAGTTGATTAAGAATGTCTGCGCGCAGCCAGAGAGCCCATGCTGAGGCCCATTCTCTGGCTGCGTGTGGCCAGGCATTGCATTTATTGCGCATACGCCAAGTGCCACTAATTGCACACACAAACACAAACACACACACACAGAGGGAGAGAAATCAATTAAACGACTAACTGTACATGAAAGGCAGCTGTTAATTTGTATGTTCAATTTAGAAAGTCGCGCATAAGCAAAATAATTGCATAATTTTTGCAGATCACAACGTGAATTTTCACACCAATGCCGCAAGAGAAGTGCCCGAAGAGAAGAAGGAGGAACAGCAGCAGAAAGGGGGGGCGCAGCCAGATCCCAGGCAAGCAAAGAACAAATTGTTTGCTTATCTTTTGGTAACAAAGCTGATGACCAATTAATGTTGTTGTTGTTGTTGTTGTTGTCGTCGTCAACATTTGCAGGCGGCAAAAATGTTGCTGCAACATTTTGCTGCGGCTTTTAGCTTTTAGCTTTGGCTTTTTGCTCTGCTAACGGCAACGAAAATTGTTTTGTGAGCGTGCAAATTTTCACAGCTGCTGCAACAGCAACAACTATGCCAGCAATTTG